AAAAAGGGAGGAATACCTATACTGTCTTAATTCCTACATAGACACTTATGTCTTCCTTTGTTTCCAAGGAACTGCTCTGCCTGTGTGTGTATATTGCTTCCTCTTATCTAATCTCTGTTTCAACTATTCAAGGAATTCCAATAAACTATAGCTCCCCCGTCCCATTAGCCAGGTGGTGGTAATAAAGTATCTGTGGACCCTCTTTGCTAAAGCTGTAAATCTAATGAGATTTCGGTGTTTTAGTGAACCAGTCTCCCTTGATGTTAACCAGTGCCCCAGTTGGCTAACACAGTAAATACTGACCAGTGATTCAGTGAACACATAGGGTGATATATAGATATGTAACTACATAAACATAAACACAACTGTGAGATTAAAATATATAAACTTATGTATGCTATATAATAAAAACCCTAACTAATCCCTCCTTTTACACCTTTTAAGGTGTAAACTAATATGACCTAATTCTAAGCAAAGCATTATATAGGTACTTCTAATGACTACATAAACATAAACACAACTGTGAGATTAAAATATATAAACTTATGTATGCTATATAATAAAAATCCTAACTAATTATATTCATTTTTATCTAAAAATAAAAATCACCGTAACATACCAAATATTAACACTGATTTTCTCAGGTGTTCAAATACTTATGTTCAGCAGTTTTAGACAAATAAATTCTTTAAAAATCATACAATGTGATTTCCTGATTTTTTTTTTTTTATTCTGTCTCTCAGAGTGGGAATGCACCTACAATGTGAATTTCAGATCCCTCCATGATTTCTAAGTGGGAGAACTTGCAAAATCGCAGGGTGTTCAAATACTTCTGTTCCTCACTGTATAGCCAATACACTACTGAATCATTTGAAATAATTTTGTTTAATTTCAGTAAGCATGATTGTTCGGTGGTTTTGTAATCATTCTTGATCACCTTTAGTTTCTGGTGCTCTTTCCTGTTGTTTATGTATGGATTTAAGTCTAAAGGTGTTATTCTCAGTCTGAACATGCCAGCTGATGTGAACCCGAACCCTACTTGTATGTGCCAGTATATCAGTGGGGACCCCAAACCTATTCTAGATGTCTTCTATGCAACATCAGTCTGGGAGGCACCATGTCACATTCATTTTCTTAGGAAATGTGTGTACAAAACTGAGAAGGAATGTTTTTGTCGCATGAACTCTCTCTTGGGTGCATATACAAGCAGGTGACAAACGAAAGGAAAAACCAACAAAGTGTCTCAATAAAGTGTTGGGCCACCATGTTTCATGATAGGTTTAAGGTGATCACTCAGAACAACTTTGTATCGATTTGCAGTGACCCTCCCCTCAAAGGGGACAAGTGGTCCCAAACCATGCCAGCATTTGCATTTGTTATGTTTCTCCACTCATTTATTCAGGTTTTCTCTTTCTTTTGTCACCCTTCTGTAGATGCAATATGACACATTTGTTTAGGTGTCTTGATATTTATAAAATGTTTTTGTCATTCAGAGCTTGGATGGAGCCATCCCTGTGATGTGTGGAGCATTGGTTGTATCCTCTTTGAGTATTACCTGGGCTTCACCTTGTTCCAGGTACAACAGCACTGTACTCCTGCCAATCAACCCTTGGTGTCATTCGTGGCATCTGTTTGGCATTGTATGCCACAATGAACCAGCAGTACTTAAATGCTGATTGTCATCTGAATCAGTCTCTCCCTTTATTTGGTTCTGTTTCTTACTCATTCATGGTTATCTGACTTGTACTTATTTTAGACTCATGACAACAGGGAGCATTTGGCCATGATGGAGAGAATATTGGGACCAGTGCCCTCTAGGATGATTCGTAAGACAAGGTGAGAGAACATGCAAACACACCAAAGTGATACACATTTTATATTGAAATTAATATGTACATATTTGAAAACTGCTCACACTGATGTCCGTGTTCTCGTAGGAAGCAGAAATACTTTTATCATGGCCGACTGGACTGGGATGAGAGCTCCTCAGCAGGGAAATATGTCAGAGAAAACTGCAAACCCCTACGGGTAGGAAGAGTAGATTCATAGCAGAAAAAGGGTTGATGATAACCAGGCTAATAAGTGGGAACAGTCATTGTACTAAAAGAACATAAGTCTATTTGATTTGTACTGAAATTCTTCTTTTGACTGTCTGTCTTCATCCTCCTTTTCCCTGCCAGCGGTACTTGTTGTCGGAAGCGGAGGAGCACCACCAGTTATTTGACCTCATTGAAGGCATGTTGGAATATGAGCCGTCAAAGAGGCTAGCACTGGCCGACTCCCTCAAACACCCTTTTTTTGAGAATGGCGGGATTGGTGAAGCAGCAGGCAACAAGAACTGGGAGGGCAACCGAGACATAAGTCGGTGACCCATGAGCCAGCAAAGACTGAGTTACAAGTTTGTTTTTTTTTATATGTGGAGCAGGTGAACTGTTGAATTAATTGTGGCTTCGGATGTTTTCCGTCGTTTGTCATTAAAGCATGGACTCTGTCACTTCTTGCCCCTCCACACTGCCCCTCTGATAACATCCTCTGCAACCATGAGAGCCATGTTTTTTGTAGCAGAGAGACTAAAATAGCTCACAAGAGAGTCAAAATCAATCTTTTCTAGTGTTCACACTGAGAATATTGGACAAAATTTTGAATGGAACATTATTTGTACCCACCGTAGCTCTCTATGCAGCTCCTGTCTTCCTTTTGACTTCTGAACCACCTTCCTCCCTCTCTAAGGAATATAATACACCTCCCTAAGGACATAAGCACTACTGTAGTCTGTTGACAAAAACTCAGTTTTGGAGAACTGTCTTCCATTTCTAAAGTAAGGAAAGGGTAAAAAGGAAAGAGAGCTGTATATGCTGTGCAAGTGCTCACCCACATAATTCTAAACATGGAGACATGCATGATATTCTGTATGCTAACATCAAATCAATACATTGAATTTATTTCCTCCTCAAAAGTGGCAAAAATCTCCACAAGAGAAATCTCTCATTTGGTTACATTTTTGTTAAATGGGCACTTGCATTGCATATAACTTTTTTACGTTTCTTTTTTATGTATAAAATTATCCCCTATATGGAGACTCTTGCCCCCAATCTCCAGTCATTAGCCTCATTATCTTTACCAAGGAGATGATAATGGTGATGGACACTCCACACACAGGCCTCTATCTTATTGATAGATATCTGTTTATGTTGTGCACTGCTTTCTGTGTGTGTATGTGTAGAGGTGTGGATGGAGTGGGTGACTTGTTCATGTTTTGCTCAGTGAGTTCTTAGCTCAGCGTTAGTCATGGAAACATTCTCACATATGTTAAAACAAACAAACAAACTGCCTTTTTCATGTGTGATATGGTTTGGACTTGAAGTCTCTCCATCCATATTAAGCACACAGCTCCTGGTAGTAGTCAGTGAGTCATGCACCTCTTGTTGTTGGTATTTATTTAGGGTTCCGGTAGGTCATAGACTCCACCCTCAACCTGTACATGACTTGTTTTTTTTGTATGAAACTAAAGCGTTTAAAAGTGTATATATGTATGATTGTGTAGAATTAAAGTTAAGTCCTCCTTGCCAAAGGCTTATGGTGCTTTTAGTATCAGCTTGGGCCTCTGGTAGCTAAAGGGAGGCGTTCTGTCTTTAAATACGGTCACTGTGTCTGAGTCCATCTCTGATTTCACTAATACCACTGGGTGATTTGGTATAGATCATATGGGTGGCTGAAATGTGTTTGTGAACAAAAGGAGAAACTGGTGTCTATATATTTTGTGTTTAAGGTCTTGGAGTAGATAATCACTTAACATTTAAGTGTATCATTCAAGAAATGTACATGTAACTTAACCTTTAAAAGCTGTTGTGTTATTAGATAGGCCTAATAGAGATTGTAGTTCCTTCAGACAATTGGATGCTTATCTTGTTTTCAAAGTTAGATTGCAGGACTTGAAGTTAATCTTTAAAATAGCAAAATAAAATTTCTCCTCATCCTTTAGACAAATACTGCACATGGACTCACTGGGGGAGTTCAGTGACTACATCTGGGCTTCTGTAAGCTCTATTAGGAATTACTAAAAGATGTCTGCCAAGTAGAAAATCTGTTTTATACCCAAAGCATGCATGCTGTGATAACTTGTATCAGATGTACACTTTTTCAAGTCATTTTAGATGAGGTAAATTCAAGGTTTACATATGGTGAAGGAAGAATGCCACAGTGCATTTTATTTCTTAGTTTTACTTGTCATTGGCCATGGTTTTTCTTTCTCTGTAACAGTATCCACAGATGTAAAGATGAGGCTAGAACATCAAAACTGAGAAGGTGTCAGAAGTTATTTTGACAAAATAGCTCAGCCAAAAATAAGAATTGTGAGGTGCGACTCGCAGAGCACATCTGCAGATCTACGGTGAATTGTGCAATGATTTACAGTAGTGTAAGTGCGGTCTGTTCTTAACAGATGGTTGGTGCTCAAATAACAGCATAGTGTGACCATTCAAAGGATGAGAAAATAAAAGGGCCATGGAGGAGTTTTGGCAGTTGATGTGGCTTCTTTTAATTTGAGGGAGTCTTTGTCAAGCGAACTGAAAAGTAGGTGACTTAAAGTACTATATGTAAAACTGGATACTAATTTTCACATCAGAGATTGTCATTAAAAATTTCCAAAATGTTGGCACTAACATTTATGACTCAGTTACTCACAGTCCAAATCAGCACAACAGGAGAGCAGTGTATACTTGGAATATACTGCCACCCCTTAGGGACTACAGTATATCCAGCGATGGAGTGGGCAGAGAGAGGTTCACTGACTGTACTGTGCTCCAAAGAGACTGGAGAATAATGAAAGTGAACTCAAATTGAGCCAAAGTTTGACATACTGTCTGGCTGCTAGAGAAAGATTTTATACTGTGAAAATGTTCAGTGGTACATTTGCTGTTTGCTGAAAGGAAAACTACTGTAGCTGCTTACTTATAGCCGCTATGGGTAGCTCACAGCAAGGGTTTGTATCAATATGGAAGTACCTAAACACTTGGTGTTGGTTTACAGGTGAGAAGAGTTCAGATTTAAAGCCTTTTATGGAAAACCAGAGTGTTCAATAATAATAATAGAATATTGAAATTAATAATCATATGACCATCATAGGGGAAAGCAAGGTTAGCACTGTTGCCTCACAGCGAGAAGGTTCCGGGTTTGAGCCCAGGGCCTTTCTGTGCGGAGTTTGCATGTTCTTGCGTGGGCTCTCCCCTGGTGCTCCGGCTGCCTCCCACAGTCCAAAGACATGCAGCATGGGTTGATTGGTGTCTCTAAATTGCCCGTTGGAGTGATTGTGTGTGTGTGTGTGTGTGTGTGGTTGTTAGTCTGTGTGCCTCTCGCCTGCAGCTGGCTGGGGTTGGCTCCCGGCCCCC